ACATGTCCACCGCATACAAAATTCCTGACAACCGAGCATTGACTGTGGCTCATACAGACCTATATAGGGGGCTCTTAGGGCTATCTTAGTATGACTTGACCGCGAGGATGTGTTCTCCTCGAGCAGGCCGAAAAGTTCAGGTGCTAGCCCCACATGATTCTGGGTTTAGGGCCTGGGGCATGTTGCATGCAAATGCGCATGCAGGCACAAACTCCAGCAATCTGTCTTTTGTAGGCTTGCGGGATCGTCGGCAGGCAGGTTGTCTCTCCAAGCCTGCTGCGAGTGACAATGTTGTTTCCAATCACAAGCATAATTCAAAAAGACTGATAGCAATAGTAGCAGAAAAACGATACTCATAATCCCTATACTGATTGGACTAGGACTGAAGGATTTGAGGTGACATGGGGTCTTCACAGGGCACAAATACCCGCTGCGGCGAAAATTTTTCTGCCAGGTGGCGCATCACCGATCAAATCATTGCAAGATGGCAGCAAGCATTTAGGGTAGACCACCTCCCAGTGAAAAGATCAATAAATGCGCGCTGCGGCAGACCTCAGGAACTTTGCCAAGTGCATCAATAGAAGGTTGACATCTTGCTGTGCTGCTCTCAACATTGCTGTGCCCAGGCAAACGCATCCTGATCATGGCATTCGATGTTTTCCCTTCCGCCCGCTATGGAAGCAGCTGGAGGGAGCCCGTGCGGCTTCGCAGCACTGCCCTTCGGCCGCACTTTGCAAGGCTGCTACTCTCCTAATCAAGATCCCCGTCTTCGGAGTCTCCGCCGTCTTCCTTGCCATAGGACTCAGCGACCACCATTGCGCAGCAACATGTTTATCAGGATTGCAAGGAGAGTTTGGGGCCTTGTATGAGCAATGTTTTACAAACTCCCAGATCTCTGCCGCACGTGCTTGGCTTGAATACATCCCCCTAGTCCTGGCTGTCGTCTGCAAGGCCGGTGCTGTTGGTCCTTGGCACCGCTGCACATGCGGTGTATAGTGTATTTGGTGTATGGGGTATTTGTGACAGGTTGAAAGTTGTCAGAAAACCGCTGGATGCCCCAGCATGGTTGCATGGGACACTTCATGAGCGAACCTGAATCAGCGCCGAGAAGCTTCTTCACCATTGCTACCTCAAAAAACATGACGCCAAGGTTCATCCAACAACCTGCTCTACAACCAAAGACATGTTGCGAGATTCTCTGATTGCGTAGAAGCTTCTGTCTGAAGTCTTGATGGAGCGTTGGTGGCACGGCTGTCATGCCTTGCATGCGCTGCCCGCAAGTCTCACACTCCTCACGTCCCTCCACAAGAAGAAACACATGGGAGCCATCACATGGAAGCCATGCTTCCTGCCAACTCCCTGGTCCTTCAGAGTCATTGCTGTGCTGTTCCTGCCTGGAGGCCTAAGCATTTGTGGCCTGCCTTCCTGAGTCCGCCTACTTTAAAGCATTCGCGCAATTTGACGCCCTCAGCACCTTTTCTTTCGAACCTCGGGCATGTCACCAGGCTGTAATTTCAACGTTAGTTTCTTTGCTCATCTTTCAACGCCCCTTGGCAGTTGCTGCAATGTGCCGCATCAATCATGCCATGTTCTAACCTAGCTTCCTTGGCCCTCCAACTACCCTGCAAGAAGTGCTATTTATCCCCAATAGTAGCCGCATGTAGACCCCTATGTACGACTGCAAAGACCCCAATCTTCTTGGAACATCTCGCTGCCTTGTGGCCGGCTGCGTCTTGTCTGGTTTCACCATAGGCGATGCCTCTCAACGGTGATGTGGGCCCAACTTAGAACTCGCAGCGATGAGCTATCCGGCCACAGCTGCTTGAACTCGTTGTAGCTCGACTTTGGCCTCAATTCGTACAAGGCACCCTTAAATCAGGCAAGGAGCAACCACAAGAACCCCAAGAACTAGAACCCTCCTCCGATTTCGGTTTGGGCGCCTCCGAAGCGAGCTTCGCGGAGAGCTCTGAGGCCTGCAAAGAGCACGGAGACTTTTTGGAAAACGGCTACGTGTCGCCCCCTGGAGCCCTAGGGCCTAGCATGGCCCAGCAGGCAGGCTTGCCGCAAGCTGGTGCATGCTGATGCTGGGAAGGAGCCCTGGGGTCGGTCTCTAAGAGCCGCGGGCTCAATGAGCACCCCCTTTTTCCCGCTGGGAGCGAAGGCAAGAGTGCCGGGTCACAACATGAAAACCAACTTCATCGCGGCGGTGATGTCCCCACTTTGGTAGTATTCCCGCGCTTTGGCTTTGTGGTGAACTTTTCCGCGATGCCGTCATCTCATCGCAGTAGTACTCCCGCGGTCAGCTGTCAGCTTCGTGGCGGCGCTCTCTCACCCCGATGGTATCCCCACGGCTCGCACGGCTTGCGGTCAACCTCTTTCCGGTGCAAATTCTAAGAATTCCTGCCATGTGTGACCAACTTGTTCACAATGGCTGCATTTCACCGCGGTGGTTTCCCCACGCCTTGCGGTCGCCCCCCTTTCGTCGTGTCGTTTGTTCTCACCCCGCAACAGTTTGAAGCCGACTTCGTGGGCATGGCGTTTGGCTCTGTCCGGTGTGCTCTCCTACCTGCTACAAGGCTGGAACTTGCCTGTTCCTCTCGTCCGTTGTTGCTACCTAACGTTTGTTCCTGTTGTCCACGCTGCCGGTGGAAGCGTGCACGTTTAGCCTTAAGCTTTAAGCCCTCAGGGCAGAGGTGACGCTGTTGCTAGGTCAGACTACACTCCACTCCACTCCAATCGCATCATGCCAAGAAATATAACAATGCTGTGCTGCATAGGGCCAGTTACCCTGCGGGGCCTGGCACCGACTTGTATAAGGTAGAGAACCAAGAGCCTAAACTTGTTCAAGCAAACCTGCCAGTGCTTGAGGGCAGGCCCATTTGGGAGAACTGTGAGTGCTGTCCTCGCATGGTGAGCAAAGCTCGTCGAAACATGTCACTCAAATCTGAGCTTCCGTATCTGCTTGTTGTGAATTACAGTAGTGTTCTTGGCTCTGAAGATCCTCAAATTGGTTGCGGTGTGGCTTGACAGTCTTCTACCTTGCTGGGAAATGCTGGGAACATGTTGGCGTTTTGAGGGATCCGTTATCGAACAGGCAGCAACCATTGGCCTGGTACCAACATCTTTCTTGCGTCGGCTTGCTCTAGATGTGTATGAGGGCATGGACTGATCTCCGGAGAGCCTTCTTCGCCTCTGCTTGCTGCTTCTCTGCTTTTTGTTGCGCTCGCACGGCCGCCTGACGTCAGCTCGTGTTAAAGCTACATCAAACAAAATTCAAGCAGGCAACAGTTGCTGAGCAGCACCTTCTCGATGGCGACAGCACTTTCTAAAGCCTTTTGGCTTGCCTCCTTGGCGGCTTTTGCACCTGTTGGCTTTCATGCGCAAATTGCTGACTGGTTTCACCTTCAGCGGAAAGATAAGCCAAAGGGCTGAAGCCCAGCACACCTTGAGTCTGTGCGGAAAACTCCTCCATCAGGCCACGCCAGTCTGCAGGCAAGGTCATGCCATGTTCTTGTCCCAGGTCCTTCAGCTGCTGTTGCTGCTCCTGCAAGACCTGACGTTACAATATAAGAAGCTGGGCTGGATGAGGTCTGAATGGTCTGAGCACTCAGGAGGCCACGCTGCCCGGGTACTCATCGGCAGAGAAGGATCGAACGACCGCCTCAGAGCACCAAAGCCTTCACATTAGAAGCGCATCTCTTCGTTTTCGTCTTCACAACGAGGTCTTTGCCTGGCTCTCAGCTGCGAGAAGCTGCTGCGTCTGCAAGCTCCTATGCAAGACTAACTTTTGCTCAACTTGAAGGGTCAGGATAAAGGAGCATCCTAAGGGTTCAGAGCATACTTCAGGCTCACGGCGCATCGAGTACAAGGTGAGCTGAAACGGCCAAGACACCGTGGGCAACTTACATGCTGCAATTTCTTCCCTTCCGGTTACAGCGACGACATCGACAACTACAAAGAGGAGCGGAGTATGGAGGCTTATGTACGACCATAAGCAGAACGTCGCACTCTGACCCGCCCAAGGTCTGCGTCGAAATCTGTCTAGCTCTTTTCCCCCGAGAACCGCGCAAAGTACAGCAGGACTCATCGCCCTCCCTCGACGGTTTCAGGTGTGTTCCGCTGCAAAATGAACTTGCATGAACTTGCACTATGACAGCAACCAGAATGCAGTTGCTTCGAGACTTTGGGACAAAGCTGTTAGCGCGCGGCCTGTGTGGCTCCCCTTTCCCTGAGTCGACGTCCTCGCAGAGAGGGCATCCTTTGGGCGGACACAGCGCCCTATAACTTAGAGGAATGCACAAAAAATTAAGGGCGAGAGATACCTTGTTTTTCTGACTGGCAGCAAACTAGCCAGGCCCTCGTAGCAATTACCGGTGGCATCTTTCGTGTTTTCGTCCTCTTTTGGCGACCATATAACCACTATCCAAGGAATGCGCGCCCCAGCACGTAGGATAAATTATGATGCGCGGGCGCAAGCACACCCTGCAACGAGATCTTTCTTCGAACTAACTCGTACACGCGGAGTTAAGTCGCTTACCATGACAAGCTATGACAAACTACCATGGCGCTGGACTGTTCTCATCTCAGTCAAGAAGCATAGGCGAGAAACTGTTGTTCCCTAAACAGTTGTCTAAGCACAGCTGCTTCAGCACCTGGATAGGATCAGGCTTTGGCCTGAGGAATTAAGGACATTGTCAGGCTACTGTAGAGGGTGGTTGGGTGATCAAAACCCTCAGGAATACGTGCTTCGGGTGCGGACTGCTGCAATGTGCATTGCACTGATACGCGCAGAACAAAGAGTTTGTGGAGGGAGAAGGTCATGGATAACATTGGACCTTCCTTGCGGACCTTCCTTGCAAGCCTTTTTTTGAAGATATTGAGCATATGAGCCAGGAGAGTTGGCGCGTTTGACTACTGCTGTCCAGCTCCGACTCTGGCGCTGAGGGTGTAAAAGTCTGCTCCAAAAAATGGGGATGATCTTGGCAGACCGGCAGGCAGTGGCAGGCTGTGTAGCTTTACGTCGGCGAAAAGCGGCTGCATGCTCATACATCGCAAGAAACACGGAGCATCACGGCATCCCCGGGAGTCTTTTGCAACATGGTGATCTTTGCCTCAGAGCAGTAGCAGGATGGAATGGAATGGCTTTCATCGAGCATCTGGGAGGCTAACTCGATCAGCCTCAGATGCCTTCAGATCCTCATGCAGACTCATGCATTCAAATCGAATCTGAACATGTCTGAACATGCTGCAAGCCGATCCTTCTGGATTTCTTCAAGTTCGGCTGCGGAAGCCACTTCCTGAAGAGCAAAAGCTTGGGGCAGTGCGGAGACAGCAGAGGGAAGAGAGGGGAACAGCTAAAGCCAAAGACATGGAACTGACAGGAAAACGAGAAATGGAACAGGAGAAGAGGGGGAAATTGACAGACAAACAGCTAACCAGAAAGACAGAGATAGAGAGATCGAGCGAGAAAGAGAGTCATGGAAAGCGACGTGAGAGACTGAGAGGGGCAGAGGGAAAACATTCTGAATTATCATCATGGAGTCTCTCTTCCTGGCGCTATGGGTTAGATCCCTGCACTGAACTCTGCCATGTACACTGCTTCCAGGCCGAGTTGACCAGGACATTATTTTCAGGTCGCTAAAGTGTGTGGAACGCACTTCCCAGAGCGAAATCCACGTGAGTGTAGTCCATGCTGCCACCCGATGCGACCAAGGCGGTGACTTCAACCGCTTTCTGCTGCAAAGACTGCGGGCAGACCGTCGCGCGAGTCGTGCGATGCCGGGATGCACCAGCTTCTACCATCTATTAACATATTAAGCGAGGGGCGCCCAACTCCTGGTTCGGGAGCTGGGCTTGGTGTGAGAAGCTGCGTGAAGTGCACCCTGATCCCTTCTTGCAAAACCCCTACGCAACTAAAGTGTCTCACTTTCAAACATGACGGATTTGCCTGCATCACGCCGATGGCGGGACCCAGTGTTCGGCGCAGAAACGAACAAGTTCTCGCAATACCCGACTAATTAACAAGCCCTCATCTCCCCAGCCTCCGAACCTGTGAGCTCAGCAGTTCCCGCGCTTCAGCTGAACGAGCTACTGCACGGTTCTGTACTGGGTCCACCAAGTTCTGGTGTTTTCAAGCCGCAGGACAATATCTGAGTATCCAGCATCATTGCTGAGAGGAGTCAGTGGAGACGGAGACACCAAGGCAACTGGATTCGGCGCACTCCTTCACGTGTAGGAAGGGTTTGGCAGCAACCTTGCGCTACTTCCTTTGCGTGCCAAGCTTCTCTGGACGTCGCAGAGCCCGCTTGTGAAGACTGCCATGGGCGGTTGCCAGCAAGGCCTGGCTCTGGCAGCTCTGGCAGCTGGAACACGACACTGAGCATGAGCCATGAGCACCTGCAAACTGCTGCAAGCGAGCAACCTGACCAACCCAGAAAGTGAGCCAATGCCGAGCCATGGCGGCGCATGCGGCGCGCTTCGTTTGATGCTCACGGCAACATGGGGTAGACAGGGCGCTTGACTGCTGGACACTGCTCGTGGACGATCAAGGCTGATCTCTGAGTTCTTGACCGTCAACCAGATGAATCCTGCCATGGCTCAAGCACGGCGCAAGGGGAGTCTGAATCGGTATGTACGCGTTCCCCCTGCAGGCCCCAAAGCTCAGGGAAGCGCTAGACATGCTGATGTGCTGTGCAAAATAGGCCTTGAGCCGCATCGTGGTCATTTGCATTCTGGGTAGGCCAGCAAACAAATTCAAGGTGCGTGGGAGCTCCAAGTGGTGTGCAGTAGCGCGTGGGGCTGGATTTTGCCCAGAGCTCCTTGCCCTGCTCGCAGCATCATAAGGAGGTGCCCACAGACAGCGCCTGTGGCATTCCCCAGGGGCAATTTGCATGTCCTAGCCAACACGCTGATCAACAAACTGCCCTGCAACTCTGGCAGGAGAAGCTGCAGCATCGCCTTGGGCGGACAGCTTCTTAAAAAGATACAATTTCGCCTTGTACATGGGAGAGGGCGGCAGGCACGACACTCCCAGCCGGGCTCTGTCAAAAATGAAATGGATTGCACATCGTTGGTGTGCTCCCAGGGCCGGAATCAGCCTTTGAAACCAAGCAGATTAAACGATCACTGCGCGCACCTAGTTCATGTAGTGCACGCATGCAAGGTCTGAAGCCTGAAAATGCTCAGACGACCCAGCAAGTCAAAAAGGTTGTCAGCACCTGTCTCAAGCGGGCTGCGGCAAGGAAATTGCACGCGGGTTTGACGCCTGTTTCGGCACTGGTCAGTGCACCACACTGAGGCCTGGGCCTACGAAGCTCTCTTGGCTTTGAAAGATTCCAGCTCGCGCGACTGTGCCTGCTGCGGCAATACTCAGCATGCAGGATGCTGAAACTCGCCTACACAAGCCCGGACCTGAAGTTGGTGTTCTAGATCTCGAATAACCTCAGAAATTCAAGAATCAAACATAGTCTTGCGATAGCGTCATGGCATCCTCGGTCGGGTCCAGCGCGCACAGCTTATCAAAGCACAGTGTATCTTGCGAAGATTGGCTGTCGCATAAGAAACGCCGGAGATCACACATACGCACTACTGTACACGCACAAGTCCGGCTGAATATGGCCGAAACAATGTTGCTACGCTGCGCGTGCGCGCATTCAAATCCTGTTGACCAAGGAACGAACCCCAACTGTTTGATCATTTTTGACCAAAAACGGCCATTCTCGGGCCGTCCAAAATGGCCAAAAATGACCAAAACAGGGGAAATTCCTTGGTCAAAAACGGCCATTCTCGGGCCGCCCAAAATGACCAAAATTGCTCAAAATAGGGAAGCTTAGGGTCTGGACTCCAAATTTGAAGGCTTGGCCCAAAATTGTCATTGTTTGGGGGTCCCCAAATGATCATTTTCGACAAAAAATTGCCATTCTCGGGCCGCCCAAAATTGCCAAAAATTGAGAACAACCCTAGGGAGGCCCTTAGGCTCTGGAGCCCAAATTTGGTGGTTTGGGGGTCCCAAAATAATCATTTCTGGCCAAAAGCGACCATTCTCGGGCCGCCCAAAACGGCAAAAATTAAAAATATAGGGGAAATTCCCTATCACGACGCTTGCGTGCAGGCATTGCGCATGTACTTGCTTTAAAGGTCTGGCCAATGATAGTGGTGTGCAGCCATTGGAAAAATGATGTGGTAAGCTCTAATTACATGACATGTCCTTTTCAGGCAGGCTCCATCATGCGACAGACTGCATGCACATGCTCTCGCTGGCTATTTCGCTCACTACTGGAAGCCATTTCCCATCCCTGAAAATTGAGCATCTCAGAGCAAAGGTTTTCATGCTGCAACGGATGGATCTCTGCAGTCGATGCCACGAGCCTGCCAGCAGCTGTTCAACAGATCTGTGGCGCGTTTCACCAGGTCTGCTGAGTTTGTCCTGTGAGCCTTTGTTTTCCATCTTCTGTCCTCACTTGCGCTGACGATCCGCCTAGCATTTGACTGGCCACTACTGCACTACTTGGAATCCTGGTTTTTTTTTATAAATGGTTAACAA